ATTCTTTTCTCAACCGAAATGATCGGACGCCCCAAGGGGGGGATATCCTGGAGGGGAGGGCGAGTAGAAACTCGAGCCGGCGGAGAGATGCAGGAAAAGGCGGGCTGCGCGCACGTGACGCAGATCTGCCACCCTAATGCCGATGACGCCAGGCGAAATGTCCGCCCTGCCCCCGAGCGATACACTCCGTAGAACGCCACCCGTCGCCATGACGAGACCAAGCGGGCGTTAGCAGGAGGCGGCGGGGAGGCCGAGGAGAAAGAGGATCAGCAGAAAAGGAAGGATTTGGGCTTGCGACGCTGATGAAGCTGACAGTCTGTCAGTCAAGGCCAGCACGGCAACTAGCTGAACATTGAGTGAGGCTGAAAGCTGAAAGACTCTGCACTGGCGCCGAAAAAGCAAGCACTGTAAAGCAGCCTCAGCGAAGAAATCGACAGGACGCGTCGGCCCCGAAGCGCCGAGGCTAGCGACAGAGCATATCCAAGCCAGATCCCCCACACCACGCTATCCAAGCACCCCCATCTCCACATCAAGCAGCAGGGCCATAAAGGGAAGGGGGAGAAGAACGACGAGAAGACCGACGGCGAGGAAACGGCGCAGATTGCCCGCCCGAATACGAGGAACACCTTCACGAGTCGGCTGCCTCCAAATTCTACGGTCTAAGACAGGCCTGCATGGGCCCTGAGCACAACACCGAATATGAATCGCCAGCACGGGAGAGCATGTACCCTCCCACACATGTCTATACATGTGTGTACGTACACACCTATATATAACTATGTACGTTACATATGTATGTAGTATGTGTCATATATATATATATATATATATATATCCGCCGGCCCCCTTGTGGGGCCACCAGGCTGTAGGCACGGGTTCGCAGTTTCCTGTACCAGTTGTAGCTTGTAGTTTCCAGTGTTACTAGTTGACTTCTTGCTGGTTACTGTAACTAGTTGACTGACCGCGCGAGGGGGGGGGAGGCCCAAACAGGATTTTCCAGCGTCCCCTGGGCGCGTTGTCTGAATTGCTGGGGGGGCTCGAAATCGACACCCCTCACGCAGATCCGCGGGGTCAGGGTCCAAAAACACAGGGGATTTGCCATGGGTCCAAAAACAAAGGGGATTTGCCACATTTCTGAAATTCGGTGCCACCCCTCACGCAGATCCGCGGGGTCAGGGTCCAAAAACACAGGGGATTTGCCACATTTCTGAAATTCGGTGCCACCCCTCACGCAGATCCGCGGGGTCAGGGTCCAAAAACACACGGGATTTGCCACATTTCTGAAATTCGGTGCCACCCCTCACGCAGATCCGCGGGGTCAGGGTCCAAAAACAATGGGATTTGCCACATTTCTGAAATTCGGTGCCACCCCTCACGCAGATCCGCGAGGTCAGGGTCCAAAAACACAGGGATTTGCCACATTTCTGAAATTCGGTGCCACCCCTCACGCAGATCCGCGGGGTCAGGGTCCAAAAACACACGGGATTTGCCACATTTCTGAAATTCGGTGCCACCCCTCACGCAGATCCGCGGGGTCAGGGTCCAAAAACACATGGGATTTGCCACATTTCTGAAATTCGGCGCCACCCCTGACGCAGATCCGCGGGGTCAGGGTCTAAAAACACAGGGGATTTGCTACATTTCTGAAATTCGAACCCATCACGCACATCCATCGCAAGGCGTGGTAACCCAAACTGCGAGAACTCCCTCGGCCCTTTCATCGCAAGGTGTGGGAACCAAGCCCTTAAACCATACACGTCTTACCAATCGCCAGGTGTGGTAACCCTTCTTGTGATCAGTTGGTTTTGCTGATTGCGACTCGGCTTCGCATGAAGATTCGATACTGCTTCACGACAGCGCCAAGGCCTCATGACTTAGCTCTTCCATGGCCCATTCTCCGAGAGAGGGGGCAGGCGGCAGGGGGCGAAGCCCTTACGGATATACATATATATATATATATACACACATATAAATATATATATATATATATATATGTATATATATATAAATGTGTGTGTATGCACATCCATATGTGCGTTAGCATGAAATGCTCTTACCTGGTAATTCAATGGCCCAACGGGTCAGAAACGTGCAAACATTGCCCATTCAGAATTTAAGAATGATTCTAATTCGCACGCGCGTGGCGGCCCCTGGGGGTCCGCGGACGAAAAGTACCCCAGCAAGGTCCCAGCAAGCTCCTGGCAAGATCGGTTCAGATATGCAGGAACTCCCAGGCGCGGCCTGGGGCCCCCACCCCCGAACGCCCCAATGAGGCGCCAAAAAGGTGGCACGCACCACGGCCTCAGGCCAAGAGCGTTCCAAGATGGCCCACGGTTGTCCGAAGTCGGCCCAAGAAGCGCCCAAGACGCTCCAGGACGGTTGCAAAAGGACTTCGAGAGGCCCCGCAAACGCAAACAAATATTCATTTTGCGTGGGTTTTCAAGCGATGTTGCCGGTACCGCCCTACCGAGCTGCCGACCGCCCTGGATGGCCAAAGAAGCCCCAAGATCGCTCCAAAACGGCACAAAAAAGCTTCCAAGAGGACCCCCAAATGGCCCAAGATGGCCCTGAGACGGCCCAAGAGGCCTCCAAGACAGCCCCAGGATGGCCCCAAGAGGGGGCCCAGAGGGGGAGCCCGAACAGACATTTCGAACTGTCGGCCCCAAGAGGCGCCCAAGAAGCCCCAAGAGGCCCCCACGAGCCCCACAAGAGGCCCCAAGAGGCCCGCAAGAGGCTCCAAAAGAGGCCCCCAAGACCCCCAACAGGCCCAGGAAGCCCCAAGAGGCCCCCAAGAAGCCCCCAACAGGCCCCCCTGAGGCCTCAAAACTGCTGCCCTGAGGCTCCCGAGAGCCCTCCGAAGAGACCCCAAGAAGTGCACATGAGGATTCTGACACACAAATCAGGTTCGAGACTCTGCTAGAGCTCTTGAGCCATGTTGGCGCCCTCTGGTGCAGTCGATCGGCTCTTCCACAGGGTGCGAGCCACATCTCCAAAGATCTCCTCGAGGACAATCCTGCCTGCCCCACCGTTTCCCATGAGTACGAGCACACCACCATGCAGCCACCGTGATGCGAGACGGGCCGGCGGAGTGAGCGAAGCGATTAAAGAAGAACTGGTGGTTGGAAGCCTCTGCCAACTTTGCTGATACGGCTGCTGCTCGTTACTTACTACTTTGCTGATGCCGCTAGTGTGACTGCTGCTGAAATCGCCATTGCTATCCATGCTGGCGTTCATGTCGTTGTTGCTGTTAGTGTGGTTAATATGTTGCCGTGGCCACGATTGAGTTACAGCTCATGTCGTCTTTGCTGTTCATGGTGTTGTTATGTTGCTGACCATGCTGTTATGTTCTGACATTATTGTCATTACCTAGGTGATGCAGTCATTGCTGGTGTTGCTACTGTTCCGCATATCGTTGCTCAGGTCGTCGTTGCTCATTTTGCGATTAAGTCGCTAACCCTAAACATGCTTGAACATGACGCGTTCTTACCTGGCATTGCGAATTGCTTTATCGGAGACTCCTGGCTCCGTGGGCCAGCTGTGGGCCCAGCGCTTTGGACCTCGAAGAATGTGGCGGCCCTCACAGGGACGGCGCCCCTTCTGGTGGGCCGGAAACCTCTGCCGGCTCTGTGGGCCAGCTGTGGGCCGGGCACTTTGGCCTTCGAATTGTGGCGACCCTCACAAAGATGGCTCCTGGTGGGCCCGAGGCCTCTGCCGGCTGTGGGCACGACATAGATCGAATGTTAATCCGAAGCGCAGCAGGTGGGAAGAAAACACGCCTGCTGCCTGCTGCTCTACTCGTCGAACTGCAATGCCAGGGGGCACGGAAGCAAATGCCAAATGCTACACCTGCCGCTACATGGCAACGCCAGGGGGCGAAGCGGAACGACTACGTTCCTCTACACGTCAAGTGGCAACGCCAATGGGCGGAACGACAGCAAATACTCCAGTCGAGCCGTTACGTGGCAGCGCGAGGGGGGCAGAACCAAAACACCACTCTAGTCTGCTCGTCACGTGGCAGCGCCAAGGCGGAACACACACTTCGACAACGCCCGGAAACGGAACACACAAAAAAAACTACTCTTCTCAACTCGCCACGTGGCATCGCAAAGGGGGTTACTATTCTACGCCAACCGCTGCTCCTCAAACGACCACGCCGACGAAGACGAGGACGAGGACGCACGGCGACGACGACTATACTGCACTGTCAATCTAGGCTCTAGGAGCGGTGCTCGGTTCGTTACTTCCTCAACGCATTGAATCTCGCGGCAGGCGATGTGACCAGCCTCAGAAGCAGGGAGGGAGACGTGTTCTGAGTACTTATCGAAGGGAGTTCTGTGCCACACTTGCGCGGGGGAGGGGCGCTCTTTCGGGCAGTCTGCAGCGCCCTGGTTATCCGAGAGGCCTCAGCTCAGGGGCCGCCTTATAACCCCCAGGGAGCAAGACCAGCAGCAAAGCTGGCAATCAAAATGTTATGGCGATCCTTTCCGTGCTCCCCCCCCGCCCCTCACACGTCTCTCCCGACCTCCCCCCATCCTTTTCCACTGGCGTCGGTACGCCCGATAAACTGGCGAGGCGCTGCAAAAATTGCATTCGCAAGGCCTGTTCACTGGTAACGTGTCCTGCCAGAACAATCGCAAGCACCGTCCCCGAATGCATCTGGCTTGTGACGGTCTGTGCTGGCTAGTCTCCCGACCGCTGGACTCCCGACGGTGCTGCTCCACCCCCCGTCCGCGACCCTTCTTCCGAGCACCTCCCTCCACTTCCTCGAGCAGCGGGGGGTGGGGGCTAGGGGGAGGGGCCGAGAGGGGGAGGCGAGAGGGGCAGGGAAGGGGGAGATGGACGAGGAGCGAGCGAGCGGGGGATGGAGGGGGGGAGGGGCAGCCAGGAGGAGGCGGCAGCCAGGAGGGGGGGGGGGCAGGGAGAGAGGGGCGGGGCGGAGCGCGGGGCGCGGCACAGGCGGGCGGAGCGCGCGGCGGAGCCGGGCCCGGGGCAGCTGGGGAGGGCGCCCCCCCGTCGACGCACAGGCCCACCTCGGCGCACGTGCCCTCGGACAGGCTGCACATCTCCCTCGCGCGGCACACGGCGCCGCCCTTGCCGCACTGGCACTCCTTTCGCACCGCCATCGTGCTACCATGAGGAACGCTAGAGCAAGGAACGCAGGGGCTTTTCTGGCCACGGCGAGCCTCGGCCACGAACACAGGTTCCCCGACAGATCTAAGGAACGGCCCGAAAACCAGAACCACTCCTGAGCCCAGCGAAGCGACCCACCCACCTCACCTGGGTCTCATGTCCTTGAAGGATGTTATTCTGCCCTAGGTCCGACCGATGTTCCCACCGTCTTGAATGTAAGATGAGGCCAGGACAGGGAAAAAATCTGACCACGATAAATTGGGAATCTCGGAGACAGGGCGGTTCTGGAGGATGTATTGGACGCCGCGGCCTTGTCAGAGCGTTCCAGAACGCTCTGGAACGATCTATACTTATCCTAGCCCTGCCAGAAGGCGGCAATTTCTGGGAGGTCACTCGTAAGAACGATGAAGGGCTGTTGAGCCAGATTAGAAGGCCAGATTAAGCCAGATAAAGTCCGGGATTCAGCTGGATTGAGCGGAACTCAGCCAGATGAAAATGGTTTCCGACCAGGGATATACCATGCTACCGCCGATGCTGAACTCCACCTCCCAAGAGCTTAAAGCTTATAGACTCCTTCATCGAGATCTGGCCGTCCAGGCACGCCGGAGGGCCCGTCGCGCAATGGCCTACGCCGGACGACCCTGGGGCCCAGCCACCGGCCATGTAGCACCGCTCCCCGCTGTGGCACGTCTCGTTCCCGCAGGTGCACTCCGCCTTGGCCTCCCTCTCGGGCACACAGGCCGGGACCTTCGCAGAGGCGTTGGCGGGCGGTGGCGGTGGCGTGGATGCCAGGCCTGAGCTGGATCGGAAGCGCATCGGATAGCCATCGAAGCGTCCCGAATCGAATCGAATCGGATCGCCGCGCCCAGCTCCGGCTGGCCCCAGCCGATGCCGATGAATCGACCCGAATCGGAATCAAGGGTCCAGCCGGCAAATGGAATCGCATCGAATCGGACCGTAGGCAGTGCTTCCGGCAGGCCTTTTTTTGTTTTCTGCAACTCGTCCTCGACCTCCTCAATGGCGTCGTCCTGCTCACTGACCAAATCCTTCATCTCGGCGACCTGCTGCCTGTCGGCGTCGGGGACATCGTCTCCGTCGTCCTCCCCGTCGTCCATCTTATCTTCCGCTGTGGAAATGCCCGCCTTCGCGTCGGCGAGGTCGTCCTTGGCCCGGTCCAGCTCCTCATCAGCCTCCTCCACGGCGGCCTCCGCCTCCTTCCGCTCCTCCTCGTTACCGCTCTGCTCCAGCCTGCGGCGCGCCTCTTTCGCCCTCCGCTCCGCCGCCTCGGCTGCCCTCCTGGCGGCCAGGATGTCCTGTATCAGCTTGTCGATCTTGGCCATGATCTCGGGGTCTGGCGAGTAGTCGTCGGTCCCGTCTACCTGCTCTAGCAGCTGGCGCGGGCGCCCTCTCTCTCTCTCTCTCTCTTTTTTCTCTCTCTCTCTCTCTCTCTCTCTTTCTTTCTCTCTCTCTCTCTCTCACTCACACTTTTTTCGTCGGCGACTAGGCAGAGTGACTGCGCTGGCGGACGAGCATTGGTAAGACACACAAATTCGAATCAAACCGCATGCACGGGGGAGAGAGGAGGAACGCCCCGCGGTGGCAGGAGGGAGACGGAAGCCGGGCCCGCTCAGAGCAGGGCCAGGCGGCGGCGGGGTGGCGCCGGGGGCGGGGGCCAGCAGCAGCGGGACAGCAGCTGGGGGGGGGGGGAACAGGCATGGCAGGCTGCCATGCAGCAGGTCGTGCTGGGGGAATCAGTGCCCAGCAAAGGCTGGCGGGAAGGTGTGCACGCAGCGCCAGGGGCCACATGGTGCCGAAGTAACACAAGCCACGAGGGCACCCAAGCCGGCGGCGACGGACAGCCTCACTGGAAGGGTCGGCCTGAAAACCATGCAAAGCGAGGAAGCGCGCGGGACAGGGCGCGGGCGGCAGAACCAGCCCAGGCCCCAGGCGGGGGGGGGGGGCGGGACACACACACACACACACACACACACACACACACACACACACACACACACACACTGTTTGGCGATAGCGGCTTCGCGCGCAGCGACGAGGCGGAGTCAGCAAAAGTACTAAGCTCGCGGACGTTGATGGGAACTCAAGAATCGCTTTTGATATCAACGCACCTGCCGCCACACAGCACGTCCGGGCGTAGATGGCAGGGAGGTGACACGCCAGCCGAGGGCCTTGCCCGACGCGGCGGCATGAGCTGAGGAGGTGCGCCATACAGCGCATCCGGGCGTGGATGGCAAAGACGTGACACGCCAGCCGAGGGCCCTACCCAGCGCGGCAGCATGAGAAAAGAATAGAGACGAAGAACACCAGCGAAATGCCACCGGAAAGGAGACGCCGCTCCAATGCAAAATGCGGGGGTGCGGCAAGAGCAGCACAGAGCTGCAGGAGCGAGGCTCCGAGGACGATAGCGGCGGGGCCAGTACCCACGGGCGAAGGGAGGAAAGCGGCCCAGGGCCGAGAGAGGAGGTGCGGGAGCGCGGAACGGCAGCGCGGGCCCAGGAGCACACACACACACACACACACACACACACACACACGCACGAACGCACGCACGCACGCACGCACGCACGCATGCACGCACCCCCACACACACACACCAATACATGGCCTGTGGGACGAAACCTTCAAGCAAACAGCGAGAGACCCCTGGGCGCGCCCCCGCCGAATGAGGGATCTCCCTGGGGGCGTCAACTGCGACCCGCAGCACTTGAGATCGGCGATGCATCGCCGATAGATCGGCGATGGGCCCTCGATCGCGAAACCGCAAGTTGCTGGGCGGGGTGGGGGACACAGGCCCCGATAGGCGAGAATGTGGCTGAACGTGTTTATGCCCCAAAGTATCCGCAAGTGTTCCAGGGGTGCGGTTCCGCAATGAAAGCTGCCCTCGCGAGGCCCAGAGCCCCCCCACCCCCTCCCCCCCCCCAACGGTTCTGGCACGGCTGGGAAGTTAAATGCGCTTTGAAACAAAGGCACCGTCGGCAACGTCAGACGAAGCTTGCGCGCACCATCCAATGCATAGTTGTTATTGTGGTGTCTGGTTAGGTCAGTGAGTTATCGGCCATTTTCATGACCGCGCGCTGCCAGGACATGTTCGCCGTGATGTGTGAGTTCTTCGATGGAGGATGGACCCGCTCGGACCCGCGGAACCGATGCCGCGCGGGGCGCGGCAGCGCGTGCGGCGTCGCAATGTCCCTTGCCGCCTCTGCCGCTGGGTCCGCAATGTTGCGGTCATCGTTCTACATGGTCGTTACCGATGCACGCGTTGGCGTCCAACGCGTTGCCGCCGCTCTTCTCTGTAGCACCGCCCATTGTGTTTTTAGTGTTTGGGGGAGATGCCCTCGGGCCCGCTGCCATAAGTGCGCTCGCCAGCGTTCTCGTTACCGCCATGCCAGTAGCCGACCGCATCGCTGCGTGCCAAGTCACGTTGATGTGCTGGACCCCCATTGCCGACGCACGCAAGACTACCCAGCTCGCCGCCACCTCCCTCGCCATCGCGTCATGATCACCGTACATCGCGTCCTGCTTGTTCTTGCATTGGCATCATTATATCACGTCGTGCTGTCCCGCGGCCACCGCATGCCGCAGACTCGGGGTGATTGGCGACGTGCCTCAGCCACATAGTTCCAAGAGCCGTAGCCTTACTTGTTAACGTTGTTCGGACGCTGTGAAGCGGAACCTTCTGGTCGATCAGAAACACGTCCGCTATCTCGCCGGCGATGCGAGCGCAGTCCTTTGAACTCAAAACGAGGCGTCAAACCAGCAACCCTCACCACCACCACCACCACACCCCACCCTCGCACCCCCACCATGGCGGCATTGGAGCACGCCTACATCTGGAACCCCGCCCACGGCAATGACATGCCGCCAGACCACGTCTGGCGCAAGATCGGGCATACCCAGTCTTTGCGCCTGGCAGCTGGCGAGAACGAGGATGGCTGGGATAAGGGCGGGTGGGTGGGCGCGCATTCGGTCGGCCCCGCCCCACCGCCCCCCCCCCCCCGCCCGCCCCCCTCCCGGACAGTTTCACCGCGTGCGTGTGGCCCTACTTCATCGAGTACCGCAAGACGGCCGACATGGTCGTCACGCGCGGCGTCGCATGCCACGCCTGGCCGCAGCGGGCCCAACGATGGACCCCATCATCGCCCGCGCGTACATGGACATGAAGGTGCACGCCACCCTCCTTTCACGCAACGACCAGGCGCCTGCCCTGTCGCGATCAGCGCGCGACGTCTGCGTCCACGCCGCCGATCGCCCCGATTGCCGAAGCCGATGCTAGCGGCCATACCGACCGATTGCCGATGCTAGCGAATGCCGATGCCGATTGCCAGTGGCCGATGCCGATGCTGGCGATGTCAGAGATTTGGTGGGCGCGATTGCGCCTCTGGTTCGGACGTGCGCCGCGCGGCTGACGTCGCCTCGCATCGTTGGATACGCAATGGTCGAGAAGGTGGATTGGTCGACCACTCGGAGTTTCACGCAGCGCCGCGCCCAGGCCGCCCTCGGACTACCGCCCCGCCGCCAGGTCGTCCCCGATGCGGATGGCAACCAACCAAATCCTCGCATTCGCGTGGGCCCATCGCTCGGGTGCCGCGCCGCGCGCCGCCGCTTCGGCCGAGGCGCGGGCTCGGAGCTAGCGGAAGACACAATTGACTGTGCTATATGGTTTTGAATTCGGGCTGCGTAAATTGAACAATCTTCGAAAGTGTTAATGTGAACACCTGGGCGGATATTAGCCCGCGCCCCTGTCGGTTGCAAACAGGGACGGGGATTTGTCGCTGGGGCCTCTGGTTATCGTTGCGATTGCGTCCCTCGTGCATATGTGGCGCGCTGCCGCGTGCACAATAGTGTTCGCATATCAGATGCACGCACGCAACCGTAACTTTCTGAACGCGGCAGAACAGGCTTGCGGAGTCGCATTCTTGCATCAATGCTCCGCGGTTACATGTCGCGTCTAAGGGCCAAGCATGCATAGCGACAGCTTTGGGGTATAACTTCAGAGGACCCCTTCCCAAGCCGCTTCTGGTCAAAGGCGACACCCAGGCCCCCCGTCGCCCGCCCCCCCCCCCCCCCCCCGCGCCGCACAGACATGGCTGCCGCGGCGGCCGCGGTGCCGCAGATGCTGGAGCAGGCGCAGTACCTCCAGGTTCAGATTGGGCAGGGCGTCGACAATCTCGCGCCCCTCAAAACCATGGGACATAGCAGGGCAAACAACCGTTTCTATCCTAATGATACATCGGAGTGCATCTTTGGACGTGTCATATATTTCTGAAAAGGGCAATACAGCCCCCGAGCCCTGCCCCCCCCCCCCCCCCTTTCTCCCCCTGCCCCCCCCCCCCCCCTTTCTCGCGGGCGGGTTAGACCATCTGGGTCGACCTGCACAGGGTCGGCGCAAGCGCGCAGCGTCCTCCCTCACACCGCGCGCGCCCGAGGGCGCGAGCGGTTCCTGCGCAACCAGTTGACGGTTGCGCTTGCAAGCGGTCGGTCCCCTCGCGTCAGCGGCCTTGACACCGCCAGATCTCACCGTGGGATGCCCGCGGGGCGTCGTCAGCGATTCGATCGATTCCCGGCCCTTCGTCGCCCTGGTTCGCCGCACGGCGGGAGGCGCGTCGCGGCCAGGATTCTTCGAGGATAACGGGGCGGGGGCGATGCGACGATGGGCGTTTGCCAGGTCACCGCGGAAATCCTGGGGCGCGCCTGGGATTTCCTCAAGCCGTCTGCTGGCGCGTCGTTCAGGCCGCACCCGACCATAGACCCCGCGGACAAGGACGCGGCGCTTAGGATAAGTGCTATAAAAAAGCTGTTGCTCAGCACTAGTTGATGTTTATTGCTGTCACGAGCGCCAGCCACGTCTTGCGTTTAGATTGCCCGCCCCCGCAGGTGCTGCCGCATGATCCAGGCCATTGGCTCCGCGACACCCTGGTCTGCGGCCCCGGCTTCAACCCGAGCGCGCCCGTCGAGCACGACGCGGCGCGCCTGGATTTTAAGACCGCGGCGACGATGGCGTCGCCGAGGTTCGCTACCAGCCAAATCACCTGCCCTCACAAGCCCAAACGCCCGCAAACCGAACGGAAAACGCGGTGCTTTCGGCGAACCAGAAGAACGAGCTGGCGAAGGAGTGGCCTCTGAGGATGGCCATCGATGCTCGGCGCGGCCCGCGCCAGGCCGGCGCGCGTCGGCGCTGGCACAGACGGCCTGGCATGTGTGGTCTCTCTCTCTCTCTCTCTCTCTGTCCCTCTTCCTCTCTCTCTCTCTCTCTCTCTCTCTCTCTCTCTCTCTCTCTCTCTCTCTCTCTCTCTCTCTCTCTCTCTCTCTCTCTCTCTCTCTCTCTCTAGTCTCGGCTCGAGAGTGCCCTGCACTCAGACCG